AAACCTCCTTTTTCCTTTTTCTCAAAACCCTGTCCTCCGTTATTAGATTGGCATCAGGGACAAGGACCACGCTTTTGGTAATACTCCTGCAAGTATTATTTACTGCTCTCATTGACTGACGTGCTTTAGAGGTGCCCATTCACTCAAGCACTAACAGTAAATCATTTGGTTTCACCATGGTCCAAGGATCCCAAGAAAAAAGTATGTGGTAATTTTAACATCTTCCCCAATTTTCAAAAGATAGGGCACACTGGACTTGGAATGTAGGTTCCCAGAAGAGAAGCTGACACACTTCCCTGCTTATGGGAAGCCATTTCCAGGGTCTCAGATATGCTTACATATGCAAATGTGACAAAGCTGGTCCCTCACACCAAAAGTTAACATTTAAAAATGCCTCTGTGCTTAAAGGACCTCAGCCCACAAATGGCTCAAATGTAGGACATTCACATTTATAAAGAGCATTCTACCTGGGTGCGGTGGCACAGGGCTGTAATCCCTGTAGCTTGGGAGACTGAGACAGAAGAATTGTGAGTTCAAAGCCAGCCTTAGCAATGGCAAGGTGCTAAGCTAAATAAAAATAAAAATAGGACAGGAGATGTGGCTCAGGGGTCAAGTACCTGAGTTCAATCCCCAATACCAAATAAATAAATAAATAGAAGGCGTTCTAGCTGCTGTGTAGAAAATATACCAGAGGTCAACCAGGATGGACAGCATCCTCAGGTAGTTCATCTGGCATGAACTTGAATATTCTGGTAGCTGATAAGCAGATAAAGATAACTAGTCCTACTGAAAACAATTTCCCTATTTGGTGTGTGGATTCTATTCCATTATATTTACTAGTTGTGTGAAAAAAATTTTCCCAAAAATTCTTTTTTTTTTTCTTTTGGTTGTTTAACTTAAATGCTAAAGTGTGCCCAGTAGAGTGGCATATGCCTGTGATCTCAGTGACTTGGGAGGCTGAGGCAAGAGGTTTGTAAATTTGAGGTCAGCCTTGGGAATGTAATGAAACCCTGTCTGACAATAAAGGACTGAGGATGCTGCTCAGTGGTAGAGCACCCCTGGGTTCTATCCCCAGTACCACTGATACTGCTGGTTACCAGTCACTAGTTCTGCTCCCTCACATGTTGAAATATAACATTAGAGAAGCATGCCGAGGCAAGCATATAAAACAGGGTTTATTTTAAAAAGGGGTAACATAAGACTTCTCCCAGGAGGGAGATGGAGGCCTTAGCTGGTACCCTGGTATCCCAAGAAGTGAGGGTTCTGCCTTTTTTTAATAACCTAGGCTTCCTTTATTTCCCTGCTCTCTTCCCCTCTCTCTCTCCTTCCTGCTTACATGACTAGGCCCAGGAAATGCTCACTGGGATGGCCAAAAAGTGAGAAGCAGACGGATGGGGGAAAGGGCCAGATGGAGCAGCCCAGCATACATTAATTAACAATTTTATGACTCCCTTAGGGAGGGGCAATTCCTGGGACTGGTTACAGGTGCGAGCAGTGGCAGATTATCTGCATAGGGTGGAGGAAGGGCTCTGAAGGAATTAACATTTCAATTCCTCTATTCTCTGGATCCTAACCTATCTGCCCAATACTGGTTTTTTCCAGCACCACCACCAAAAAAAAAAAAAAAAAAAAAATGTATGGAAAAGTCAAAGTTGAGATATTAAGTCCTACTCAAATCTATTGCTAAAGAAAAGTGGCTGTTGGGAAGAGAAATAGCACTGCTGGACTCACCATGGAAGGGAAGCTGACTTGCCATGAAAATAATTTAGGGCACTGTGTCTTCTTGGTGGCACAGGGGAACTTGTGTTGCCCCAGAACAATAGTCCTTTGGTGCTTTGACACTTTCAGCTCTGTCAGATCTCTGTATAGCAAGAAGCAGAGACGAGGAAAAAAAAAGAAGCAGAGATGTGGATTCATCTTTGGGGAAGGCCTTTCCTTTGGTATGAGAAAAAAGGGCTGTGAGTATTTGCCACTGTCTGTAAAATAGTCTGTATTTCTTAACAAGTTTAATGTAATTCAAATCAGCCTGTGTGGTTCATTTCAGTTCCTTCATTGCCAAACCTGGGAGCGGACTGCTTCAGTTCCTCTGCCTTCTCTTTGTGATGATCAAGGTAAAAGATATTGAAGATATTGGCTGCATCAAACTTTTTTTTTAATATTTACTTTGTTTTAGGTGTAGATGGACATGACATAATGTCTTTATTTTTTAAAATATTTTTTAGTTGCAGTTGGATACAATATATTTTTATGTGATGCTGAGGATCGAACCTGGGGCCTCCCACTTGCTAGGAGAGCGCTCTACAACTGAGCCACAATCCCAGCCCCTGCTTCAAACTTTTTGACATTATTTTTCTTTCACTTAATAGTTGGGGGAGGGGTTTCCAGGGATTGAACCTGAGAGAGGGGTTCACTTGATGCTTTGACTATCTCTCTTGTGGCTTTGAAACTTACCTATTATAGCCTAGGGGCACTTAAGCACTGAGTCATATTCCAATCCCCCCCCCCCTTTTTTTTCTTTTTTGTATTGGGGATTGAACGTGGGCATCAACCCCTGAGCCATATCCCCAGCCCTGTTTTGTATTTTATTTAGTGCCTTGCTATGCTGAGGCTGGCTTTGTACTCTTAATCCTCCTGCCTCAGCCTCCTGAGCTGCTAGGATTATTGGCATTCACCACTGCGCCTGGCTCCCAGCCCTGTTTTTCAATATTTTTTGAGACAGAGTCACAAAGTTACTTATGCTGTCCTTAAACTTGCCATCTTCCTGCCTCAGTCTCCCAAGTCAGTGGGATTATAGGTGTGTGACACCACACCTGGCTATCTTTTTCTTAGTAGATCTGGTATCCTTTTACCCAGCTAAGAGCACAAAATCCTTGATTTTCTTCACTTTTTGAAGCATGATGACAAGGCACGCAAAGGGTGAGAATCAGCACAGTAAATGTTTTTTTTTTTTGTTTTAGTTTTTTATTTAATATTTATTTTTTAGTTTTTGGCAGGCACAACATCTTTTTTTGTATGTGGTGCTGAGGATCGAACCCTGGCCGCAGGCATGCCAGGCCAGTGCGCTACTGCTTGAGCCACATCCCCAGCCCCACAGTAAATGTTTAGAACCAAAGAGCAGCAACCGATGCTTTTGAAGTGCCTATTCACTCCAACCCTGTGGGTGGATCACTTTACTTCACCTTAGTCGGAGGTCAGTTTTTTATCATTATAACAAAATACTTGAGGCTGAATGACTTTTAAAAGAAAAATGACTTGTCTCATTTATTGATACTGGGGGTTGAACTCAGGAGCACTTTACTACTGGAGCTACATCCCCAGTATCCTTTGTTTTTAAGAGACTGGCTCTCTAAGTTGGTGCAATTGGCCTTGAATTTGTGATCCTTCTGCCTCAGTCTCCCAAGTCACTAGGATTTACAGGCACACACTACTGTTCCCAGCTGAAAGGGTTAATTTAGCTCACAGTTCTGGAGTTCAAGGGTATGGCATCAGCTCTGCCCAGCTCTGGCTTCACAGCAGATGGCGTCATGGTGGCAGAAGTGTACATGAGAGGGAAAGATCACATCTCCAGAGAGGAAGCCAACTGGCCATTCAGAGTTCAGTCTTAAACTTTTGTAACAACTCACTCTACTCTGGAAAGAACTCACCCCAGGAGACCAGCATTCCCTTCCAAGGCAGCCAGAGTGATTCCCAACCTCCTGCTAGCTCCCACCTCTTAAAGGTTCTATTTCCTCCCACATCACCACCCTGGGGACCAAGTTTACCCCACAGGAACCCTTGGGAGATACACTACATCCATATCACAGCACCATCCTAAAGGGTTCTCCAGTTAATAAGAACTGGAGTGAATCTTCTCCTGACCCAAAGCTTTGGAAGAAAACTATGACATCAAAATTAACCTGAAAACAGTGCTTTTAGAGTTAGACTAAGCAGCCAAATGAGCCAGTTGGTTTATTAATATTTATAGTTGAGTCATGTTGTAATTTTGTTTTAAATGCAACAGCTGAGAGTTTTCCTAGATTCCAAATGAATATTAAAATGAAAGTACATTATAGTGGTTTAAAATTAGAAGATTTTAAAATAGAATTGAGAACCAGAAATTAATGGGAATTCCCAAGAGGAGATGAAATTAATCAATTACAAATTTCCCTTGATTCCATTTCATCCATATAAACAGTGATTTCTCTACAAAAAAAAAAAAATTGTGATATAAATGACTAAGGGTCCACGATCTTTTTTTTTTTCTTTGTGTTGTAGGGAGTACTGGGAATTGTGCTCAGGGGTACTCTATACTATCTCCATAGCCCTTTTTATTTTATTTTGAGACAAGGTCTCACCAAGTTGTGAGGCTGGCACACATCCCTAAATTGCTGGGATTGAGGGTGCATCCTGCTGCACCTGAAAGGGTAAAGTTTCTAAGCTGCAAAGCCCGAGTTAAAATGTAAAAGACCAGGCATTGTAAAGTTTTTAAACTACAAAGCCTAAGTTAAAATGTAAAGGATAAGATTAAGATTTGTTTCAAGTTTAAAGTTCTGTTAAGTTGCAATTTCCTGAAGTGAAATTAAGTTCTGTTTTCCTGGAACCTGCAATTCATGTAGAAGCTAAAAAAAACCCCTCCCAGAAACTGTGCAGTCCAGCACGGACACACTTCAGGGCCTAGACCAAACAGTTTGAATGTGTACCCCGCTGTAGGAATGACCAATCACCCCCACCGACCTGTTCCCGCCAATGAATGTGCTAATCATGTCTCAGAGTTGTTGTTCAATTCTCCCTCGCCTCATGCTGATTTGTTCTGATGTATGCAAAGCCCCCGGCCCTCAAAAAGTGTATTTAAGCACTGCTTAACCTTGGCTCGGGGCTCTGGGCTGCTCTCCCTTCTTGAGTGAGCCTGGAGCCTCAGCGCACTGAATTGGATCCTCAATAAATCCCCTTCTGCAATTGCATGAGTCAGTCTCTAGGTGATCTCTTCCTCCAACTTTTCGCTGGACCCTTACACACCCAACTCTCACAGTAGATATTTATTTGCTGATTGATGTGAGATTTCATTTGCTACAAGAAAGTTTAGTTCAATTTCATCTAAAAAGTCCCTGAGAAAAGAATGTACTATTCAAGATGAATGAGGTCTCAAGATACATATCCTGATTAGATAGAGAGGCACTAGCTACAGGCTTCCAAGTTTCCATCTTTTACACCAGTGAAAGAGAGGAAATCCAGGCTCTTCAGTTTAGCTTCAGCATTATCAGTAAATTCCCTGGTGGCTTTCTGCAGTGGAAGTCGAGGTGGGCCCATTGGAATTCCAGAGACCAGAGTCATGATGGCTTTGGTCTGAGATACTCCAAAACCTAGACAAGAAAAATAAATGAGGAAACATATCTGGCACTGTCCACATCCACAAAAACATCCCAAAGAATAGATCTTATGCCAACAATGACTTCTACATTAGGATAAGATGCCAAGTAAAAGGCACATTTCTTGTCAATACTGTCACCTTGACTGGGTAGACAAAGAAAGGACTTTTCCTGTTGCACACACACAGGAATGCTGGAAAATGTTAACAAACTATAAAACAAAACAAAGTAAGGCTCAAAGTCAACCTTTGCAAGCAAAGGAGGAGGATCCAAAGCTATCAGGAATACAGTTATAAGGATAAGAAAGATCTGAAACCAAATAGCCCTTGAGGATAATCCGACTTAAGGTATATACTGGTGTAATTTTTTTTGTGTGTGTGGTATAGCAGATTTTACTGAGATACCCAGCTCTTTTTATTTTTTATTTTGAGTTAGGTTCTCACTAAGTTGTTGAGATTGTCCTCAAACTTGCAATCCTTCTGCCTCAACCTGTCAAGTAGCTCAGTGGTATGTACCTCAGTGGTAGGGTGCTTGCCAAGCATCTGTGTGCCCTGGGTTCAATTCCCAGTATCACAAAAACAAACAAAGCCAGGTGTACTTGAAAAAATGCCAAAAAGAAAATACTGTAAATAAAATGCATACTGTTTGTTCAGGGAAATTAAACAGAAGAAAACATAGCTAAGGAAAAAAATTGGTGATTTTTTTAAGAAGCAAGCCTAAGGAAATTCAGAATATAGCACAGAAAGATATTTTTTTAAATTAAAGCACAGCTTTGAGAAGATCCAAAATCCATCTAATACATTTTCAGAATGACAGTCTTCAGTGAATGCAGTCAAGACAATATTCACAGCTGATAATAGGGACTTTTTCAGAACTGAGGAAAGACAAAGCCTTCAGGCTGAAGAAGCAAGTGAAGTGGGTGCCCAGTTAGTATGCAAAAACACAATAATCTTGTGCCATAATCCCTAATCCCTGTCTTTTAAAATATCTGTCACTTGTTTTCTTAGCTACCTATTGTTATGGTTTCAAGCTATAAGAAGTAACTTCCTTTTATTAAGTGAATTTAGTTAAAATAACAATTGAGCATTGGGAAGGAAATTACTTAGCAGGATTAAACATATGGAATAAACTTTGGCAGATGCAAAATGGACTTCCAGACTTATTATGAGTAGGTAGAGCAAGGAGTTGTCTTTAGGTTAAGACAAGTTTCTTTTTTTCTTTTTTTTTTTTTTTTTTTTTTAATATTTATTTTTTAGTTTTCGGCAGACACAACATCTTTGTATGTGGTGCTGAGGATCGAACCCGGGCCGCACGCATGCCAGGCGAGCACTTTACCACTTGAGCCACATCCCCAGCCCAAGACAAGTTTCTTTAATAAGTCTTCCTTTGACCAAGTCATGAAAACTTCAACTCCCATGAAGCCTGAAAAGATCTTTTTATTTTATTTTATGTATGTATGTATGTAAGTAAGTAAATAAGTAAGTAAGTAACAGGGATTAAACTCAGGGACACTCGACCACTGAGCCACATCCCCAGCCCTATTTTGTATTTTATTTAGAGACAAGGTCTCACCAAGTTGCTTAGCCCCTCACTTTTGCTGAGGCCGACTTTGAAGTTGGGATCCTCCTGCCTCATGGGCCACTGTGCTTGGAGAGCTTTTTAAAGATATGTTTTTTAGGTCATGAAAACTATCTTCAAGAGCTCCTCCACCCTTAAAATGCAAAGATTCAGACAAACAAGTAAATCCTTTCTGTTAATATCTTAGATTCACGTTTTACAAAACTGTTGCAGTAACATAGCTGGTAAGTAAGATGATCTTATGATCATAGAGGTCAACTTCTAGTTATTTTTAACCTTTCAGTATCAATCTTTTTTTTTAATATTTATTTTTCAGTTTTTGGTGGACACAACATCTTTCTTTGTATGTGGTGCTGAGGATCGAACCCGGGCCACACGCATGCTGGGCGAGCGCGCTACCGCTTGAGCCACATCCCTAGCCCTTTCAATGTACTTTGTAGGAACATATAACTATTATGTCAAACCACAATTTTGTGAAAAGTATTGTCCAGGACAAGGGAATTATAATAGGTAATTAATAGCATGGGCAGTATTCAAATATGACAAAAGTCATGACAGTACAAATGCAAATGGAAACACTGTCTTGGAAGGATTAAGAGAGCTAGCTGAGAACCTTTGGGAAGGAGGGGCTGGATACATAATAGGTGCCTGGGGAGAAGGAAGTTTCCAGGGTGAGGCAGAAAGGCTCTGCATGGGGAAGTGGGAGGACTGCCAAGAAAACACCAGAAACTCTTCCTGGACTTGACCCAGGTTCATTTGGCCCAAGGGCAGGTCTCTTGCAGAGGATGAGTGAATGGTAGCATTTGTCATTTGTTGTGGGACATCATTTAAGACACTCTGGAGAGCTCCTCTGCTCAGATTCACTGTATCCCCTCTCCCCTCAATTTTATTTTGTCATATTATCCAAACCTTCATCCATTTAAGCTTACCTGTGTTTTGGGTTTTTTGTTTTTTTTTTTTTTGGTGCTGGGGATGGAACCCAGGGCTTTGTGCATTCAAGGCAAGCACCCTACCAATTGAGCTATATCCCCAGCCCAGACTTATCTGTTTTATTTTATTTTTAAAAATATTTATTTATTTATTTTTTTAGTTTTCGGTGGACACAACATCTTTGTATGTGGTGCTGAGGATCGAACCTTGGCCGCACGCATGCCAGGTGAGTACACTATGCCAGGCGAGCGCACTACCCCTTGAGCCACATCCCCAGCCCCAGGCTTATCTGTTTTAATAAACTCTTTAAATTTCAAATGCTCTTGGGAGAGCTGTCAGTCATTCACAATTTAGTAAAATCTGTATTCAGACCACCTTCCCCAAGTACTTAGGCTGAAGTCAGTCACAGTTCAGTGGCAGAATTTTAATGAGCAGAGGCAAATGTTGACTGTTGAGAAACAAGGTAGAGAAAGTGCAGTACATATGGTGTGGGGAACAACATGCTAAGCTGGAGAAGATTTGTAGAAGACTATCAAAGACCTCCCAATCAGGGTTACTGAACCGTTTTATATGGTTGGCCCTGGAGGGTAGTATTAAAAACAGAACCCAGCTTGCGACAGAGCAGTCAACAGTGCTTTTGTTGAACCCTCAAGAGAAAGTGAGGAGATTCTGTTCCCTTTAACACTCCCCAACAATAGACAAGGCAGGAAACAGATGTGGCACTTACCTAGCTTGACCACAAAGTTGATAAATCTCTGGATGCAAAACTAGAAGAGAATAAACAAATCTATAATCAACATTAGTGAACTGTGAAAGCTGAAGGAGGTGGAAACTTACAACCCCTCAGGGAAAAAGGGAAACTGAGGACAATTTCCCTCATCTGTCAAGTTCCCCAGCCTGCTAAAAGTATCTGACAAACTGCTCCCAAGATGTGGCCCTGCTAAACCCTATAAAACTCAGATCCTTGTAGCCAGTTGCCATTTTCCCCTTGAAAATGTGCCCCTCTGTTGCTTAATAAAGCATCCCTGGTCAGTTGAGGTGTGTCTCCATTTCTTTTTCTTTTTGTATTCTCTTTCCATTTCCTTCCAAAAACAACTTAAGGAATTTAGCAAATTATGGAAATTTTAAAAAGTGTGCACATCTAAGTTTTCTGAAGGCCTATCGTAGTTGGAAGAAACAGAGACGATCCACCCAGGATAAGGTAGGATCTTTTCATGCATACTAACTTTATAGAATAGGCCCATGCAGAAAAAAGTGAAAACTGTAGAATGTTACAGGTGGTAAGATGGGAATGCATCCCTTATCCACCAGTTTATGAGGAAAACTTAGCAGCTAGTGTAGTGTTTTGTAAATCGTGGTACACATACCTCCGAGTACCTTCACGATAATCAAGGGGTGCTTGGACAAGGCTGTCTTGTTACAGAAAGCTCAGTCCTTGCAACTGATGCCAATCCAATAACAAGGACTTAGTTTTGAGAAAAAGGAAAAGAGTTTTATTGCTTTGCTAACAAAGGGGAAGTATAGGAGATTACTGTCCCAGAGGTTATGATTCTGCCCATCCAGGGGAACAGGGGGTTTTTAAAGTGATTCAAAGGCTGCATTCTGCAAATTCTCTGTTGCAGTTGTAATTCACTTGTTAATTTGGGAGACATAATTTCTGAGATCTTCTGTGCCATCTCCAAAGTCTGAATTACTTTTTTTCTTGTGGTGGTTGTACGTTCAAGGACAGACAACTCTGGAAGAAAGGTAATCCTGTTCTCCGGGATTAGGGAGAAGGAGAGATTAGGGAGGAGGGAGAGAGGAAGAGAAAGAATCATATCCTTTTAAAAATAAGTCACAGTGGCAGGGAAGCAAGGACTGTCTTCAAAGCATAAAGTGGACCACTACAATGGTTTTATGAGAATTAACTTCTAGTTATTCAACCGCTAGAAGTGCTGTATTCTAAAATAGATTAAGCCGGGCACAGTGGCACACACCTGTTATCCCAGTGGCTTGGGAGGCCTACTCAGGAGGATCACAAGTTCAAGGCCAGCTCTGGCAATTTAGTGAGACCCTGTCTCAAAATAAAAAATAAAAAGAGCTAGGGAAGTAGTCCCCTCCCCCCACCAAAAAAAGTATTGATATTGATAAGAAGAGTGATAATCCAATCCTTCTGATTAATGGATAATGTTTTCTTGAGGATCAGAGGGTTTTCCTTTTCCTTTTTTTTAAGCAGTTCTTGGGGACTAAGCCCAGGGCCTCATGCTTGCTTGGCAAATGCTCTACCATTGAATTACATCCCCCGCAGTCCTTTTGATTTTTAAATTTGCTACAGGGTCTCACTAAATTGCTGAAGTTAGCCTCAAAATTGCGAACCTCCTGCCTTAGCCTTCCATGTAGCTGGGATTACAGATCACCATGTCCGCCTATATCTCATTCTCTGAAAGGGCTGCACATAATTCCATTGCTTAAATTGGGTATATTAAGTGTAAGCTCTTGGAGGGCTATAACCAGCCTTATTGAAATTCTGCATCTGGCATAAATCATCGAAATGCTAGCTCAGTCCCTGGCATATGAGTAAACGAGTAAATTTACCCCATCACATTTGTCTTCAGTAAGAAGCAGAGAATGTGCTAAACTGAATTCCTACTAACACTGCTTTTTCTTTCTTTTTGTACAGGGTATTGACTCCAGGGGTGCTGAGCCAATCCCCAGCCACCCCCCTTTAAAATTTTTTTTTTTAGTTTTATTTTTTAGTTGTTGTAGACCCTTTTTTCTTAAATGTGGTGCTGAGAATCGAACCCAGTGCCTCCACATGCCAGACAAGTACACTACCACTGAGGTACAGCCTCAACACCCCCAGTCCTCTTTTTATTTATTTATTTATTTTTTTTTT